GAAGTAGTGCAGGATGACAGGGAGGGCAGTATTCAAATTCAAATCCAAAGTCTAATTTCAATTTCTAAGTTAGAGAGAAAAAGGAGGTTAAGCACACATAAATTGCACCTTAAGCCATACCAGTGACGATCTTAGCATGTCAATCTTGGTAGGGCAAACTCTGGAGAAAAAAAAAATATATATGCATGCCAGCAAAGCCACCACACAACACAACACTAAACACTTCAACACCATAGTGCCCTCAAAGCTCATCACTAAGCTAAGGATCCTGGGATTAAACACCTCCCTCTGCAACTGGATCCTTTACTTCCTGACGGGCCGCCCCCAGGTGGTAAGGGTAGGTAACAACACATCTGCTACGCTGATCCTCAACATGGGAGCCCCTCAGGGGTGTGTGCTCAGTCCCCTCCTGTACTCCCTGTTCACCCATGACTGCATGGCCAGGCACGACTCCAACACCGTCATTAAGTTTGCCGATGACACAACAGTGGTAGGCCTGATCACCGACAACGAAGAGACAGCCTATAGGGAGGAGGTCAGAGACCTGGCCGTGTGGTGCCAGGATAACAATAACCTCTCCCTCAACATGATCAAGACAAAGGAGATGATTGTGGACTACAGGAAAAAAAAAGAGGACTGAGCACGCCCCCATTCTCATCGACGGGGCTGTAGTGGAACAGGTTGAGAACTTCAAGTTTCCTTGGTGTCCACATCACCAACAAACTATCATGGTCCAAACACACCAAGACAGTCGTGAAGAGGGCACAACAAAGCACATTCCCCCTCAGGAGACTGAAAGGATTTGGCATGGGTCCTCAGATCCTCAAAAAGTTATACAGCTGCACCATCGAGAGCATCCTGACTGGTTGCATCACCGCCTGGTATGGCAACTGCTCAGCCTCCGACCGCAAGGCACTACAGAGGGTAGTGCCTACGGCCCAGTACATCACTGGGGCCAAGCTTCCTGCCACCCAGGATCTCTATTCTAGGCGGTGTCAGAGAAAGGCCCTAAAAATTATCAAAGACTCCAGCCACCCTAGTCATAGACTGTTCTCTCTGCTACCGCACGGCAAGCGGTACCGGAACGCTCTAGGTCCAAAAGGCTACTTAACAGCTTCTACCCCCAAGCCATAAGACTCCTGAACAGCTAATCATGGCTACCCAGACTATTTGCATTGCCCCCCCCTCAATACATTAATTGCACTATAACGGTGACAAACGGTGCCCACAAACTGTTAGGCACATAAAGCTGTCCCAACAGCAGAGCTTTCTTTTCAGCACCATGGAGTGAATCCTTACCACTGCTACACCTGACTATCAGCGGAGCCTTGTCTGGCAGCGAAACCGTTCATTCAGCATCATTTACTGCATAAAGAAATAAATAGCTGATATGGCTGACTTGCTTAAACAAATGTGGTTTCTACTGACAATTGAGATCGACAAACTATGGCATAAGGGGACGATGAGTGGATAAGAGGCAATCCATAATTTTGATTAAGACAATGAGTGAGCTAGGACGGACATAGTCAATATAACTATTTGTTCAGCACTTTTGAAATGTACAGCGACAGAATTCAGAACATGGGCCATTCTTACAGTATTCTCCCTGTACACAATGTCAGAACCGTAGGATAAATAAAGGGGGCATATAAGCAGACAATGAAAGCTCTTACAATATTCAATGATTATATTTCTCTAAAACAGGCTATTGGCTACATGTGCACCACCAAGTCAGAACAGTAGGCTAAGTTGTGAAGGGGAAAGGGACCAAATTATTAGGGTGAGGTACATGGGCTACTAACAGCTTACTACACCACATACACTTAGTGTTACTTTCTTAGCTACAGTATACATATCTCCCTGGCATATTACATAATTTATGCAGCAGCATACAATACATTTCTGGACTCACCTTGTTGTGCTGTGTTCACTTGAACAGGAAGGTGGAGCAGCGTTCCTTCTTGTGGGTAAATTTTGTCATCAAAGTCTGGCATTCTCTGGATTGATGGTGCTTTCAAGACAACTGGGAACTCAGAAAAAAAACAAGGTTGAATCATGACATCAGTGATCTTCAGGTCGGCGCTCTAGAAAGAGGCTTGAGTTCCTGACTTGGAATTCCGAGTTGGATGACCGTTCAAAACGTATTTTCCCAGTCGGAACTCGTTTTTTTCAGAGTTCCCAGTTGTCTTGAACTCACTGAAGTCTGAGATTTCCCAGTTCTGAGTTTCCAGTTGTTTTGAACGCGGAAGAAGTCACGCTGGATTGACAGCATGGCCAATGTATTCAACCTTTTAGGCTAATAATAGCCTAAACAAACCATTATAGCTCTTTTAGTGTTTGCGCCAACATTATCTTAGCCTATATTGATAAACATTTGACACGATAGAAAACTCGCTACAATGCAAAACCCAAACTCACCTCTTTTACCAAACTAATTTGATCCAAATCAACCCCCGCCACAGTGCTGACCTCTGTCATGTGTTTTACCCGGTGTTGAAATGGCCAGCTGTCTTATTCCCTGTCCTCAAGCTGATGTAATAACTGCGGTGCTCACCAGTGGTGCATCAAAAGAGATTCCCTTTCAAACAGGGAGCCCATCCACACTGAATAAAAACGGTTTTACGGTAAATTAACAAAGATCTAAACAACTCATTCACTTGAGCTGTATTCAACATTTTCTGGCCAATGGTGTTGCATGTGAATGTTTTTATCCTTTTAAGCTTGGAAAAGAGATGCTCAAACCCAGAGTTGGACCACACACCCACTCCACTGAATAGCAGGCTAGTGATTGCTTTGCAACACGGTAGCTAAAACGTGATTTGACGTCATTTTATCTGTGGCCAATGAGCTTAAGCCTTGTTGGATGGACACTTCTAATGTAACTCTATGGCAGCACCCAAGGGGCTTGAATTTTCGGGCTATCCCCGTAGATTTTGCAGTGACGTAGTGTCCCCATGAGTGACGAACACTGAGCCAATCACGGCGTAACTATAGAACATTCTTTTTTTTTCCATTGTTTGCAAATTGATATGTGACAAGTTTTAATGCCAAAATAACATTCAAAACATGCAAAAAAATATAAACAATATATACAGTGCCTTCGGGAAAGTATTTTTTCAAATTTTGCTACATTACAGCTTTATTCTAAAATTGATTAATTAGTTTTTTTCCCTCATCAATCAACACACAATACCTCATAATGACAAAGCAAAAACAGGTTTTTAGAAATTCGTGCTAATTTATAAAAAATTAAGAAAAAAAACGGACATATCACATTTACATAAGTATTCAGACCCTTTACTCAGTCTGAGGTCCTGAGCGCTCTGGAGCAGGTTTTCATCAAGGTTAATCTTTCACTCAATCCTGACTAGTCTCCCAGTCCCTGCCGCTGAAAACATCCCCACAGCATGATGCTGCCACCACCATGCTTCACCGTAGGGATGGTGCCAGGTTTCCTCCAGATGTGACGCTTGGCATTCAGGCCAAAGAGTTTAATCTTGGTTTCATCAGACCAGAGAATCTTGTTTTTCATGGTCTGAGAGTGTTTAGGTGCCTTTTGGCAAACTCCAAGCTGGCTGTCATGTGCCTTTTACTGAGGAGTGGCTTCCGTCTGGCCACTCTACCTTAAAGGCCTGATTGGTGGAGTGCTGCAGAGATGGTTGTCCTTCTGGAAGGTTCTCCCATCTCCACAGAGGAACTATAGAGCTCTGTCAGAGTGACCATCGGGTTCTTGGTCACCTCCCTGACCAAGGCCCTTCTCACCTGGCTCTAGAAAGTCTTGGTGGTTCCAAACTTCCATTTAAGAATGATGGAGGCCACTGTCTTCTTGGGGGCCTTCAATGCTGCAGACATTTTTTGGGACCCTTCCCCAGATCTGTGCCTCGACACAATCCTGTCTTGGAGCTCAACAGACAATTCCTTCATCCTCATGGCTTGGTTTTTGCTCTGGCATGCACTTTCAACTGTGGGACCTTATATAGACAGGTGTGTGCCTTTTCAAAACCAATCAAGTTGTAGAAACATCTCAAGGATGATCAATGGAAACAGGATGCACCTGTGCTCAATTTCGAGTCTCATAGCAAAGGGTCTGAATACTTATGTAAATAAGGTATTTCTGTTTTTATTTTAAATACATTGACAAAAATTTATAAAAACCTGTTTTCGCTTTGTCATTATGGAGTATTGTGTGTAGATTGCTGAAGAGAAAAAATATGTAATCAATTTTAGAATAAGGCTGTAACGTAACATAATGTGGAAAAAGTCAAGGGATCTGAATACTATCCGAAGACACTGCATACATTTTTAGCTAAACAGCTGGGGCTCAAAACAGGTGGGGCTCTGCCACACCTGTCCTGAATCACGGTTCGCCACTGAGCCATACCATTGCATCTGTTTCCTTAAGAAAGGGCTTTAGTAATTGCCTCTGTTTTACTCAAATGGTTATGAGGAGGCAATGTACCAGGCTCCGGTAACAAGGTTATCGCTACGCATTACTGAATCTAGTCAGTATTTACATTCTGTGTAACTAAGATTACATGTATACGTTTTGTTTTAGCTTATACACTGTCAGTGGATGACAGCTGAATCACATAAACTTATTTCACAAGCTTGGACATTATTTTTTCACAGATCCAGAATGTTTTTGATCTTTTTTTCTGAGAAGGTTTTTGGATGAGTCAGACTGACCAAACTTGGAAAGGAGTTCCTCTCTTTTGATCCGGTTGAATCAGGTTGTGGTTGAATCAGGAGTTTGAACGGAATCAGATATGACTGAATAACTTCAAACACTCAATCCCCCCCCCGCCCCCGTCCATGAACAGGCATTGATTGACAAGCTGTTTCACTTTCCTGTCCAGGTAAGTTACTAAACTCTTACTCTTCTTCGTCCCTTTTCCTTCCTTGTCTGTGGCTTTGCCCTCTATGCTCTCTCTCCCTCTCTTCTCCCTCTCTCTCCTCCCTCTTTCTTCTCCCTGCTACTCCTCTGTTCTTTTCTACGACAGGAACTTCCGGAAGCATCTGAGAATGGTGGGCAGCCACAGAATGAAGGCTCAGAGTGAGTTCCCCAGTGAGTGTGGCCGTGGTGCCTGTGCCGTCGTAGCTTTTTACAATGTGTTCTACTTTCGTCAGTGTGGTTGTGCTATATGCATGCAGCCTATACAGTACGTGTCAGTGTGTGCTGGATAAAATGCACTGCATGGTACATTTATGCATTCATAAATAAGTGTGGCATGGCTCAATATGAACTAGTTGAAGCTATAGTAAATGGAACCAACACTTTGAAAGTGGTGCAGCTGTAGTAGTATAGTCTCCCAAGCACATCGAATCCCACTTCACCCACCACTTTCCACCTGTTCTCCCCTTCTAAATTCTGTGTCCCTCTCTACATTTCAACCTGTCTGAAAAATAGACATCGAACTCCCAGGAGAAAGTGGTCCAAGAGTCAATATAATCAACATTATGGCAGAAAAGCTTTCAAGTTGGGGTTTTATAGTAGGATGCCTGGTTAGAAGAAGCTGGTAGAGGTATTGACTTTATTAGCAGCTGTTAAGTGACTGGGTGGTTTGGATACAACAGTCCCAGCTGTGTGCTGGAGTACCAGATGCTCACCCACTCAGTATCACCATGTCGTGATGATGACTCAGTCAGAGCAATACAACAAATGTTTTCAGCCAGGCTGTTTTGTATGAGCCGGGATGTGTTGTACATATGGGAAGTGTGTGTGTGTGTTGGCATCTGTGTAGAGGACTAAATTCCACTTCATGGTGAAGGAAGTTTCTGATGAGTTTCTAGCGTCTGTGTTGAGTGGCTTCATCCCAATTATCTCTCCTTTTTTCCCAAAGTGTGCGCTTGTTCACTTCCCTTCACTGATTTGAAAGGAAATTACTGTTATAAGAAATATGGTGGAAACTCCCTCTAGCCTCCACCAATCCAATACTTTTAGATTTGTGGGAAGTAGTGAACAAGTGTACACTTCAGAAGAAAATTGATATTATTGGGACACACCCAGTGGGTTTTGGGGTTGATTAGGGAAAGTGTGTGTGGCACTCTCTCCCCCGGCCTCCTCCTCCTCCTCCTCCTCCTCCTCCTCATCCTCCACTCATTCTCCTCCACTCCTTCATCAGCATATGCCGAACGCCGAGCCAAGAGTTTCAACCGCTCCTGGAGTGACCCCACCCCCATGAAGCCTAACTCTCTCCATGGCTCCAGAGACAGTGAGTCCACACACATACTATACACACACTCACTCATGCAAGCTGATGTGCCCAGGAGACATACGCAAACACACTTTTTCACTCAAGCATACTCGGCACAAGCATGTACAATTAAAAATAACTTTACTGAGGCACAAACGTGCACTATACCTACACTATGTACATGCACACACTAACACAAACACACACACACTCATTTGAAAGAAGCTCCTCTGTACAGACTGTTTGACCCTGATTCTATTTGTCCTCGTCCTATTCACGTCTGACTCTTGACGGTGACGGTCTACTGTACCTTGCGTCTGTACGTCTGTCCTTTACGCCTGTACTGTGCGTCTCTGCCGTCCTCCCTATGTGTCCAGGGTCTGTCTGAGCCTGTGCTTGTATGTTGCAAGCTTTGTCTTTCATCTAAATGTTTGTGTCCGTGTCTCTCTGCAACCTATTGTCTATGTATCTGATGGCTTTACGTGCCTATGATTTCTTGTTCTATGTTTAGGGAAGGGATAATGTCTTCCATTTCCTCGACGTGTGTCTCTATGATTCCTGTCTTCTTTCTCTTTGCAAACAGCCAGGTGTGCTTCTTCTGTTTGCATACTCTCCTCTAATCAGCTCTGTTTGTGATCCTTTCATCTCTCCCCAACCGTGTGTGTGTTTGCTTGTGTCAGGTGGGGACCTGCCGTCCTCGTCAAGGGCTCTAGATGAAGGGTCACAGGAGGATGCCGACTGGGAGGAGGAGAGAGAGCTGGAGAGAGCAGCCTGCGAGGGAGAGGACTTAATCCCACCCAAAATCATAGTGAGATTCTCAGCTCACCTAAGAGACCAGTTAGCCATCTCATAGCAGTGCAAAGAGAATAGGGGAGTGTGTTGTTAATAGCTAAGTGTAAACTGTAGTTGAAAACCTCTGTAGCTCTATTCTATATGACCTTAAACAGATATCATACCACTCAGTGGAGATAATGTAGAGTCATTTCTGACTAATTTATTTGTCTGTTTTCATTGTTATTATGATATTACTTACAGTATATAATGTACCCATTGTAGACAGTTTTTCGTTGATATTTGTATAGATGTTGAGTCTGTCTTCTTCCAGCTAATATCCTCTAAGGTCCCGAAGGCTGAATATGTCCCTAACATCATCCGTAGGGACGACCCCTCGATCATCCCCATCCTTTATGTGAGTCCCTCTCATCCACTGGTCCATTGTACTACTCCTACCTGTTATTTATTTATTTAACCTTTATTTAACTAGGCAAGTCAGTTAAGAACAAATTCTTATTTACAATGACGGCCTACCCCGGCCTACCCCGGCCAAACCCGGACGACGCTGGGCCAATTGTGCAGCGCCCTATGGGACTCCCAATCACGGCCGGATTGTGATACAGCCTGGAATCAAACCAGGGTCTGTAGTGACGCCTCAAGCACTGAGATGCAGTGCCTTAGACCACTGCGCCACTCGGGAGCCCAATGATAATATGATAATACCTGGATATTCTGATGACTGTCATATTGATTTAGGAGAGTCTCTTTTTCCTAATGATTAAAGTACATATGGAAAATATATACTTTTTAAATGCTACGTTATAACGTGCATACCACCCCGTTCACACAGTAGTTGGAATTGTCTTATTGTCTTATCTTATTGTGTCCTATTTGAAATTTTTCTGTAGGATCATGAACATGCCACATTCGATGACATCATTGGTGAGTAGATTATGTTTGTTTTTCATTCATAGTATGCCCTGAATAATGATCATAGTACAGTATGTGGCCTCTCTCCCCTGCCAGCAGAAAAGTAGCATTTATACTTTCCTCCCTCATCTTTCCCTCCAATCACAGAGGAGATAGAGAAGAAGCTGACGGCCTATAGGAAAGGCTGTAAGATCTGGAACATGCTCATCTTCTGTCAGGTGAGAGAGAGGAAGGGGAGATGGTTGAGACAATATCGTGTGTTTGCGTGCGTGTGTGAGTGGGAGAATGGGTTCTTATTGTCTAAAACTCAGTGTTTAAGTCAGCTTATTGTTGCTGCAGTTATTATTGCATGCACATAACTGAAATGAACCTGTTCTCCAGGGAGGTCCGGGGCATCTGTACCTGCTCAAGAACAAAGTGGCCACGTTTGCCAAGGTGGAGAAGGAAGAGGACATGATCCAGTAAGATCACTCACTTCTGACAACAATATCACCATGATAACTGTCACTGGATTGCAGAAACATAGACTAAAGTCATACACTATTATAAAAATGCAGATTCATTTAATCTCTGCCCCTCTTATTTATATGGACAGGTTTTGGAAGAAGTTGTGTCGGTTTATGAGCAAGCTAAACCCTGAGCCCAACGTCATTCACATAATGGGCTGCTATGTTCTGGGGAGCGTCAATGGAGAAAAGGTATGGATTTATAGTTTCCCCTATTATAGTTGCATAATTCTGGTAATTTTCCCAAAGTTCCCTGGTTTTCTAGAAATCCCATTTGGAGGTTCCTGGATTTCCTGATTCCATGAATTTCTGCCAAAACTTTTAGGATTTTGTGAAAGTGACTGAAATGTTACAACCCTAGTCTGGGTACCAGTCTGTTTAGATATCATTCCACTCCTTGACACTCCTTGTCATTAACTTATGTAAAGACCTGTTTCCTATTCTGTCACTGTAAACATTTATTACCACAACCGTACTGCTTCTTTATAGATTTCTGCACAGTATATAGGTCTATCCCTCTCTTTTTATTCATGTAGTCAGTATAGAGCCGCCCACCACCCACCCACACACCACTGGTACATAATTTACACACTGTGAATCTACTGAATGTGTCAGTATGATGTAGCTAGCCCTGGGCTACCTAGCTGGCTCTTAAGCTCCTAAACGGACACTGCTAAACTGTCATGCTGTCATATAGACAGACAGAGTGCAGGAGGCAGGTTTAGAGACACAGACACAGACCCATCCACACTGACACTCTGAGCAGCAGAGTGACCCCCCCCCCCCCCCCCCCCCCCCCACGTGCGCTCACGCACGCACACACACACACCCCTGCCCTGGCCCTCCTCACCCACAGAGACGTACTGGCAGACACTGCAGGGAACAAGCAGCTATGCACACAAACAGTTTCATGTACACACACACACACACTCACTCAGGCACGCACACACACAGGCACTTAGTTCAGATGGTCTTGAATATGCATGCACTCTCACACAGAATTTCCGTACACATGCTACAGTATATGTGTTTACTCATTTAAATAATTGAACGTATAGTTCAACACATGCATGCATTTTGTACTTTAGCACGCTGTACAGTGTGCCCACACTCTGACACAGACAGCAGTGTTGTTCCAGTCTATCTGATATTTTCCTACCCTGGAGTGTCTGTGTGTGTGTGTGTGTGGCAGTCTGGAGGCTGGACAAGTCGCAGAAATGAAACAGGGAAGTATTTTTCAGTGCATTTATCAATGTTCTCCTCTGCTATCTGTAATCCCCTGCTACCTCAGCTGGAATGCAGATAGAAAGCTTTAGTCATCCGTCTAATAAAAGTCTGCTAGTTTCAGAGAGACCTACGTACCGGTACACACCCAGCCTACCTAACTGCAACTCAACTCTAACATCTCCTTGATTGATTTTGGGTGTCTCCCAAATGGCAGCCTTTAACATATATAGTGCACTACTTTCACCAGAGCCTATAGGGAATGGAGTGCCGTTTGGGACGCAAACCCTTAACTTTGTTATACAGCTCCTTTCCACTCCTTTAGTTTTATTCACTCCCTGTACAGTCTTCTTTTGGGGAGCAGTCACCTCTAGCCTAAAAAGGACAAGACATAAACATCAATAGTTCCTCCTCTGAATTCTGTTAATCCTTGGGTCTGCTGATTTATGGCGATATAATCTACCACCAAATCCTTCTGTTGTACAGTATTCCCCTCTTGAATTAAAACAGTGACCCGGCTTTAAGGGTTCAGACTATTGTTGTTAATCTCTGTCAACACAGTCAGGGGAGTTGAGGTTAAGCGCTGTAACACTGTAGCACGCTATATTAGCAGGTTCAGAGTCCCGCTAGGGGTCGTGAACCCTGACCTCTCCCATAGACACACACAAACTCTCCAGAGGTTCCGTGCATTGATTTAGTTCCTGAGCATGCTGCTACTGCTACTGCTGTGTGAATGGCGTCAGCAGAGAGGAAACTGGCTTCTGGAAAAACATGTTAATTGGTTGCGAGGCTCCATGGGGCAGTGGCACTGGCTGGTCCAGACCGCAGGGAGTGGAGGAGGAGAGCAGGAGAGGAGAAGAGGTGCAGGGAAAGGGGAGGTGCAGAGAGAGAGAGGAGAGGGGAGGTGCAGGGAGTGAGTGGAGAAGTGGGCAGGAGAAGGGTGATGTAAGGTAATGTGCTCTGACAGGCTCTCTCCAGCAATGAGCACTCTCCTCGTACACAACAGCCCCCGAACAACAGATACTCAGTGAGACAAACACAGGTTAACACTTCAGTGTCACTTCCCATTCTGCTGTATGCACAAGACACACCCATCGTTCACTCTGACCCCATCATTCCCACTATGAAGGGCTCTTTTCAGTTGATGTTATGACATATTTACCTTTGCAGTTAGTTGTATTGCTTTTGGAGGTACAACTGAGTGTTAATTTCCTTTGGAAAAATAATGAGTGACAATATGTTTGCAATTGTTTTTGTTGTGAACAGAAAACAATTTTCACTCCTCTCAAGAGGTTTGTCTGTTTTGCCAGATGGGTGTTTTGAAATGTAAAATGTTCTCCTTCACAGCTAATCCAGAATCTGAAGCAGCTAATGAGACCTCATGTCATCGAATTCAAGTCCCCACTAGAGCTATCTGCGCAGGGTGAGTGTACGACCACACACACAATTTCACATATGTATAGATTTTCCAATATCTGCTACATGCTGTGCAGTACACGTTCCCTGAATCCTAGCAAGGCAGACCAAGTTAATCAGGACATTAGGGAACACGCTGACAGACGTCTGAACTTCCTGAGATCTGAACTCACCCCTCATCAATCATTTCCCCCTGACACTTATTGATGTCATGCTAATTATTTCTCAATTAATATCTCATTACCTCCACTGAGTGTTTTCCTCTCCTCTCTCTCTCTCTCTCTCTCTCTCTCTCTCTCTCTCTCTCTCTCTCTCTCTCTCTCTCTCTCTCTCTCCCTCCATTATTTATACCAGTTTATAGCTTGATCAAGCTTTACAGTACATAAACACTTCAATCAACTGTATATTACAATCAACGTTTGAGAGTAGTTGTTGGGATAAAAAACAACAACACGTTAATTATTTTCCTTTCTGAGAACAGATTAGCTAGTGGAGAGGGGTGAAGAGAAATCAACTGTACTTAACTGGTGCCCCTCGACCCAACCCACCCTCTCTCGCTCTCTCTCTCTCTCTAGGCAAGGAGATGATCGAGATGTACTTTGACTTCCGTCTCTTCCGCCTGTGGAAAACCCGCCAGCACTCCAAGCTGCTCGACTATGACAACCTTTTGTGACATTGCTCACCTTTCACCTTTGTCAGCCTACTGGCTGTGTATCTCATCACCGATAGCCTATAGTGACGGCTTTCCTTGAGAGGTCCTGGAAGGGAACGCTCTGTAGAAGAGGTGCAACAGGAAGACTGGGTTCAGGTGGTTTTACTCACGGAGGAGGCTTCAATCCTCAGCTCTCAGACAAATTGAAGGCATTAAGTGAAATCCAGTAGCAGCTACTGTCAAGAGGTGAACTGTATATTTCCCCTCATCCATTTTCACTGTCACAACTAATGCCTCTACTGAGAGAGAACCAGAGCGGGAGAGAGAAGGTTAAAGAGAGATGTGGATAGATCATCCTTTAGTCTCAAGAGAAACATAGAGTTAGATTTTTAGCCCGGGAGCCAAGAAAGTCTTCTTGGAAAGAGAGAGAGAGAGAGAGAGAGAGAGAGAGAGATGCAGCACCTGCAGGGAAAATAAAGACTCTTTGTGAAAAGGGAGAAGAGATGGCGACAGATTCTCACCTTTGTCTACCTGTCAGCTGTGTGAACTCAGAGATGAAAGCAATTTCTTTCAGGAAGTACGTAGATCTCCCTAAGGACCTAAATGTATTTATAAAGTGCTTAGGTTGTTTTCAGAGCATTAGAGAATAGATTTCCATTACCTATACATGTACCACAAATAGAAAGGATGATACTCAAGTAGTCTTACTAATAATTCAAAGTATCTATATATCGTATAACACAGCTTTTATTTTTTACTTATTGTATTAGTATTTCTTATGGACTGTTTGACTTGAATAACTCAGGGTTACTGCTATCCCTCGTATGATACTTGGCGTCAGTCGTCACCTCACGTACCGTCATAACGGAATAGGACGGAGATGTCTGTCGACTAGTTCCGATCCTCTCCACCCGCACATGTGCGTGTTTGAACAAGGGAGGTCGTTTTTTTAGATTCTTCATAGACTAGGTCAATTGTAGCTTATTACTCATTACGAATGTAATAGTGACACTGTACCAGAACCCTTCCATGTTTATGTTTTACCCTGCTGAACTACGGACACAAACTTTTCTTTCTTGTAGTGTTCAGTTCACTCCCAGGGAATGAAACCCTTATGCTGTGAGCTCTCTGTCTTACCCTGTGTGTCTGCATTGCATTGCTAACTGTGCATCACCTCATACTGCCATGAGGTTTATAGAAAGTGGACAAGGCCTAGCCTAGATGACTTTTTTCACACTGATTATGGTAATGATTCCTCTCTATATATCTACAGTATATTTACTTATATTTAACTAATATTGCTGCTTAAGTTACTCTCTGCACTGCCTGTGTTTTTCTTCATTCTTGTATGATGTATTTTCCGAGGCACAAGATCACAAACCAAAATGACAGGAATCATATCTAACTTCTGATTGGCACAAAATTGGATAGTGATGGATGGAGAGGATGGCGTTTTCCCCATCCTCTCCATGTGCTCCTTCTCCTTCCTGCTTGAACATTTTAGATGCGTCCCAAATGGCACCATATTCCCTATTTAGTGCACTACTTTTGACCAGGGCCCATAGGGATATCAGATTCAGATATCAAACCAAGATCTCAGTATTCTTGTCATGTCAATTCTTATGGCATTTACTTTCTGTGTATTGTGCTATTGACTCTTAACAAATGGGCTTTCTGTCTAGCCTATGTGATATTGTACAACACTCAGTCGTGGTACAGTACATCTCATACACACGCAGAGCAGTTCTGTGAAGGAGCATGTAATGATATTGAGATTGCTTTCTAACTTTTGCTTGTGCTCAAGTGGCAAAATAACATAATTTAAGGATTTATTTCCAAATGTCCTCCTTAAACTGTTCCACCTGAGCAAATAAGTTAATGTGTGTGTGTGTGGTTTGTGATGTGGCTCTGCAGGGGTACTGAACTGTGAGGAGTGGTCATTATCAGTGTTTTCTCTTAGCTGGTGGAGGAGGGGGGGGGATGATAATACACATCTTTATGCATCCATGTGGACAGACTCAATATAGAGAGACAAAAGAGAGAGGCCATTTTCTTTCTATTCCTTAAGATTTGCTATTATTCAGTAATGGTGGTACAGAGTGTACACTTCTAACAATTCTTTGTTGACCTTCCTAGAATGAGGGAGGCACACCATGTATTTTACTCACTCATAGTTTTTCACATTTAACTCTTTCTCAATAACATACGAGTATTACTGTACATGCATTGTATTGATGTGCAATCAACATTCAGTTTATGTGCCACATGGGTAGTGTATCTCTCCCCACTCCTCTGTTTAATGTGTACCTTTACAAAAGTGTTAACCAAGGATACAAACCCTCTATCATGTAGCAATAGACTTTGTAACATTTCCTACACTGTTATTAGAAAATATGTTTTGCCTTGTTTTGGTTCCAACTGGAGACTGTTTACTTTACTTGTCCCCAATGCACCGCAATCTCCAACATTACTGACTTTGAGAGAGAGAGAGAGAGAATTACATTTTTTTTTAAATGAATCATTGATGTATGGTTCTGCTTTAAAACAGGATTATGACGCTGGAGATAACCATCCTTTAAATACCATGGATAGAGGAATATTTATTATCTGGTATTTGAGGGTGATTTCAAACCAATGTGCCAGCGGAGGAGGAAGTGGCGGAGCGAAAGTAGTGCACTATATAGGGAATAGGATGCCATTTACGTAAGAAGAGTACTGTACGAGGGCTATAGCAATCTTTCTTGGATAGTTGACAGTTGGCACAGTAGAACTGATTTGTGATGGTAGTTAAGATGACAAGCATGGATAGACATTAAAACTTTGACATTGCAAAAGAGAGACGTGTAAATTAAAAGTTGATCTGGCCCATATTTAGATGAGAGCTACTGGCTTTGTCCCAAATGGCAACCTATTCCCTATTTAGTGCACTACTTTTGACCAGGGCTCTGTTCAAAAGTAGTGCACTCTCTATAGTGAATGCATTGACTGTAATGTTTATACTGGAGCCAGAACCAGCGAAGCGAGCACTGACTGGTCGTCGTGGTTTGACTTATCATCCTGGCCAACGAAGCAGCCATTTCCATTTCTGTGAGGAGAAATATAATTACACAAATCAAGACATATATCTTCAACGCCTCACACGTCCTATTAATTCAAAATGAAACCTTCTGTCATCACCAATGAGAAAATAAGACATTTACATGAACTTTCATCCTATTTTTAATGTATGAGTTTCTCCCACGTTGGCTGCATCCCAAATGGCACCATATTCCCTATATAGTGCACTACTTTTGACCAGAACCCTATGGAGAAAGGGTGGAATTTGGGACTGAGCCATTGCCTGGTTCTCTGCTCTGTGTGCTCTGCTCTGTGTTGGGGATGCTGATTGAGTTATGATGATTGATTGATGCTGCTGTGATTGCTCTGACGCCTCATGTTGTGAAGTGATTGTATTTTGGGACGAGGGGGAGTGCACAAAGCTCTCATAGTGTAACCTCGATCTTAACTTTTCACAAAGTAATGTATGGGCCAGGGCATTGCATTTTCAGTAGATTTCTTTAGGTAGATTTACAAAGCATACTACTTTTAGAAGTGATAACTATCACTACTGTAAGTCTTTAGTCAGGTTGAATATCCAAATGTCTTGATAAAAGTATTGTTTAATATGCTAATTATGATAGTGATAATGATTGTCTCTGGTGATTTTAATACTAGGAGATACTAAAGAAAATAGACTGGGTAGTGTACAGTGGCTTGCGAAAGTATTCACCCCCCTTGGCATTTTTCCTATTTTGTTGCCTTACAACCTGGAATTAAAATGCATTTTTGGGGGGTTTGTGTCATTTGATTTACAAAACACGCCTACCACTTTGAAGATGCGAAATATTTTTTATTGTGAAACAAACAAGAAATAAGACAAAAAAAAACAGAACTTGAGCATGCATAACTATTCACCCCCCCAAAGTCAATACTTTGTAGAGCCACCTTTTGCAGCAATTACAGCTGCAAGTCTCATCGGGTATATCTCTATAAGCTTGGCACATCTAGCCACTGGGAATTTTTCCCACTCTTCAAGGCAAAACTGCTCCAGCTCCTTCAAGTTGGATGGGTTCCGCTGGTGTACAGCAATCTTTAAGTCATATCACAGATTCTCAGTTGGATTGAGGTCTGGGCTTTGACTAGGCCATTCCAAGACATTTAAATGTTTCCCCTTAAACCACTTGAGTGTTGCTTTAGCAGTATGCTAAAGGTGAACCTCCGTCCCAGTCTCAAATCTCTAGAAGACTGAAACAGGTTTCCCTCAATAATTTCCCTATATTTAGCGCCATCCATCATTCCTTCAATTCTGACCAGTTTCCCAGTCCCTGCCAATGAAAAACATCCCCACAGCATGATGCTGCCACCACCATGCTTCACTGTGGGGATGGTGTTCTCAGGCTGATGAGAGGTGTTGGGTTTGCGCCAGACATAGCGTTTTCCTTGATGGCCAAAAAGCTAAATTTTAGTCTCATCTGCCCAGAGTACCTTCTTCCATATGTTTGGGGAGTCTCCCACATGCCTTTTGGCGAACACCAAACGTGTTTGCTAATTTTTTTCTTTAAGCAATGACTTTTTTCTGGCCACTCTTCCGTAAAGCCCAGCTCTGTGGCGTGTACGGCTTAAAGTGGTCTTATGGACAGAAACTCCAATCACCGCTGTGGAAGCTTTGCAGCTCCTTCAGGGTTATCTTTGGTCTCTTTGTTGCCTCTGATTAATGCCCTCCTTGCCTGTTCTGTGAGTTTTGGTGGGCGGCCCTCTCTTGGCAGGTTTATTGTGGTGCCATATTCTTTCCATTTTTTAATAATGGATTTAATGGTGCTCCGTGGGATGTCCAAAGTTTCAGATATTTTTTTGTAACCCAACCCTGATCTGTACTTCTCCACAACTTTGTCCCTGACCTGTTTGGAGAGCTCCTTGGTCTTCATGGTGCCGCTTGCTTGGTGGTGCCCCTTGCTTATTGGTGTTGCAGACTCTGG